TGCTTGCTGAGGATGGGGCTGTGCTGGTGGGTGCTGGTGTGTGGGGCTGTGCTGGGGGTGGCAGGTGAGTGGGGCTGGGGCCCTCCGGCAGCTCCCCTCAGTCCCCCACTGGTTGTACTGGAGGAGGCGGGTGGTGGCATCCATGTCTGGGTGCAGGAGGGTGGTGGGTTCCCTTGGTTTTGCCCAGTGGTGGCCTCTGATGCTCTCTTGGTCCTGCTGGCACAGGTCTTGGTGGTGGAGAGGAGGCTTCCTGAAATGACCCTGCGCTCTGGGGATGTGTGGTTGGCGCAAGGGGGCTTGCCAGGAGCTCCTTGTGTCCCCGGGTCCCAGCCGATCTATAAGGACCTGGGTCGGGTGGGGGGATGAGAGCTGCTGGTGGGGCACATGGCTGCTGGCAATGGTCTCCCATCCCATGAGCGGCTCCTGCTCTGTTCCCAGCCTTGGCCAGTGTCACGGTACCGGGGAATGCTCTCGGTACAGCCCCTCTGCTCCCAGGCATGCCTGGTGCCGAGGTGGCTGGGGACACTTAACCTTGCATTTTGGGAGGGTTGTGGAGACCCTTATGGAGCACCCCATTCTCCAGCACCCACCACCACAGTGACTGCAGTGGTCCCATGCCGGGGCCACCAACACCAGGGGAGGTCCGGGATGGAGGAGCACCCCGATGTGCCCAAACGCAGCTGAGCTCCTGGGTGCTTTCCCCTCCTTGTGCTGCTGTCACCTGCTCTCCATGAGTCCCAGGGACATCTGGGGACCTGGATGTCCCCCCTGTGTCTGGGACACGCTGCACACTCAGCTGCGCTGGCTGAACGCTCCCCTTGCTGCAGGGACCACCATGGCTCCAGAAGCCCCCAGTCACACGGTGGTGGCTCCAGTGGTGTCCTCGGCCGTGGGGACAACGGCTGCAGCCCCAGCACTTGCTGCTGCCACTGTGCCTGGTGGGGCTCACGCTCACCCCCACTCAGAGGAGCCCGTCGTGAACTTCACCTTGAGACTCCTGGATGGTGAGTGCTCTGGGTCTCGTGTTGGGTGCCAGCTTGGGGGGATAAGACCACAGGATGGGTCCAGCCCAGGCCCCTGGGCTTGACCAGCAGCACCTACTGCTCCCTCCTGGCTGGCCTCCGTGCTAGGGCCCACCAGGAGAAGGTGTCCATCCCCGCAGGACCTCCCCTCCCAGTCTTGCGGAGGGTGTAGGGCTTTGAACGGTGGTGCTTTGAGATGTTCCCAGTCCTGTGATTGATACTGGGATTGGACTTTGGGGGTCAGCTGCCCCTTGTCATTCTGATGGGTGACGTGGTCCCTCTTGGCTCTGGGGGGGCGGACCAGGAAGGTGCTGTAGCTCTGGAGAGCGGGCAGGGATGCCAGACTGGGGTGACAGAGCCAGGACAGCTCTTGGCTTCCAGGGACATGGGGTTGGGCTCTGAAATTGGGGAGCTGCAGGCAGGCACCTGTCTTGCAGGGGTGGAGGCAAAGACACCTATGGGTGGTGGTCTGGGATGTGTCTGATGCCCCTATCTGTGGTGGGACAGGCTTGTGGGTGTCACGCTGAACCCACCCTCCCTTCTCTTCCAGGGGACCCTAGTGCCATGAACAAGCCGCCGGTGCTCAGCCCTGGCTCTGCCATCCACCTGGAGGCCAGGGTCGACTTCACTCCTGGCATCTCCCTGAAGATCTACGTGGACCAGTGCTACGGGACCAGTTTGGAGCAGCCAGGACACTCCAGGAGGGTCTTCATGGTGGTGAACAGCCATGGGTCAGTGCCCATGTGGTGGGAGGTGGGGACTGCTGCTCCAGGGACCCTGAGGTCCTGCAAGACCTCCTAATGGGGAGGGATGTCCAGGGCCTGGGGACAGCCTGGGAACGTCCCTGTGTTGCTCTCCTGCCTCAGGTGCCTGCATGGGCAGAAGCTGGGGACCGTGTCTGTCCGGCACCAGAGAGGGGTCTCTGCCCTCCGGCTCACCGTCCCGGCCCCTGTGCTGGAGAGTGAGTCTGAGGAGGAGGAGGTGAGGTTGAGGTGATGTCCTTAGTGGTGGGACATAGGCGCTACGGGGGATGACATGGGCCTCCCAAAGCACCATCCCTCCTGGGGCATCGTGCTCCCTGCTGGGGTGGTCTCAGCCCCACGGGGTTGGGTGGGAGGAGAGCAGGGTCCCCGAGGAAGGACATGGTGGTGGCACGCCCTGCCCGGTGTCTTGGCAGGTCTATGTGCACTGCCTGCTGACGGCGTGGGGTCCCACCAGTGCCCAAGGCCATGGTGCCAGGTCCTGCTTCTACAGCCAAGCCACAGCCAGGTAAGCTCAGCCCCGGTGTAGGCTCCCTGCCAGTGCTCCAGGACACAAGCACCCATGGGTGCTTTGGGACCAGAAGCCACTTGTCAAGGGGACCCATCTGGGGGACCAAGCCACCCCATCATGGTCTGGATGCCCCTTATTCTCCCATGGTAGCCAAGTGGCATCGCCGCAGGTCCTAGGGCAGATGAATTGGGGAGGTGCTTGGTGTCACCTGGGGGACATGTCCTCTGGGGTGGCCCAGACCTCAAGGCCAAGGTCCAGGCCAAGACCTGGAGGGACCCA